ACAAATGCCACACCCACCTCAAAACCCAGAATGAGCTACTATCAGAAATGTGATTGGGCTTGAATAGGCCAACTATATTCTTACAGTAACCAGAAAAAGCGTTTGGTTGTTGGTGAAAGAAGAGACAAGTTAGGGGCAGCTAGGTGGTGCAGTGGATAGAGTTCCGGCCTTGGAGTCAGGAGGACCTGAGTTCAAATCCAGCCTCAGACACTTGACACTTCCTAGCTGTGTGACCTTGGGCAAGTCACTTAATCCTGATTGCCTCACCAAAAAAATAAAAATAAAAAATAAAAAAGAGACAAGTTGGTAAATGGAAGAGACTAGGTAAAGAAGACCAATAAACAATGAAACATAGCACTCTAGTGTTGAATATACCCAAGAAGAGATGGGTTACCCTCAGACAGCAGCTCTAATCCTAACCCTAAATTTGCCAAGAACCGCTAGGAAAATTGGAAAGCAGCGTGGCTGATTTAGACCAGCATTTTCATTCAACAAGTATTTATTAAATGCCTGTTTGCAGCCAGTATTGTATTAAAAGGAGATATAAAAACAACCAAAAATAGTTTCTGCTCTCAAGCAGCTTCCATTCTCTTGGGGAAGAGAGAAACAAATATGTAAAGCAGTAAATGAATACAAAATGTATACAGAGCAAAGGTAAAGTACTATGGAGGCCCAGAGCTGGGGTGAAGTGAAGCCTCAGTATCTGTATAAGCCTCACACAGGAGGTGGTTCTTGAATCCTAAAGGAAGCTAGAGATTCTAAGGGGCAGCTAGGTGAGCTGCAGGAGATAGAGTGTAGGGCTTGAAGTCAGAAAGATTGATCCTGAGTTCAAATGTGGCCTCAGACACTTATTAGCTATGTGACCTTGGGCAAGTCACATCACCTAGTTTGCCTCAGTTTCCTCATCTGTAAAAATGAGCTGGAGAAGGAAATGGCAAACCATTCCAGTATCTTTGCCAAGAAAACTCCAAAATGGGGCCACAAAGAGTTGGATATGACTGAAGAATGACTGAACAAGAACAGGGATTCTAAGGGGCAAAGGAAGAGAAAGAGTACAGTCCAGGCAGAGGGCATGGCCTGTGCAAAGGGGAGATGAAATGGTGTATGTGGAACAAATAGAGTGTGTGAGGGGAGTAATATGCAATGACCTTGGAACAAATTGTGAAAGCTTTTAAATGCCAGCAGATGGAGGTGTTTGTATCTGATCCTAAGGGTAGTAAGGGAGCCTCTGGAGAATTTTGAATGAGGGAGTGGCCCAGTCAGATCTGTGGCTTAGGGATATCACTTTGGTAGTTGTAGGGAAGCTAGATTGAGAGGAGAGAGTTGGAAGATGAATTAGGGGGCTATTGCAATAGTCTGGCCAAGAGGTGATGAGGATCTAACTAGACTGCTGGCTATAGGTTCAAGAGATATTGTGGAGGGAAACTTGACAAGACTTATTAGCCCCAAATGAATAAGAGATAAGGGGGGAGGTAGGGAGTTTGCTGACAAAGAGTTAACATTCTGCAGACACTTTTCATTTGAAATTGCATCATCAGCATTTTCTCCATTACTTTCTGAAGTCTAAACAATTAGCAAAACAACCAATCCAGCCCTGATTTGTAACATTTGATTTCTGAGGGATGAATGGTCATACTGGAAATGTCCAGGTTGGCTCTCCCTACTCTACTGGAGCTGGCTTCAGCATACCCCTGGAAAAGATAAAGGAATGAGTTACAGATGACTTGGAGATTGTAAATGAATGTGACTAGAAGAATGGGACGGGGGTGCCCTTTACAGAAATGGGGGAGATCAGAAGTCACAACAAGTTCTAAATGACATGTGACCTAAATAGAAAAGCTCACCTGAAAACAGAGGAGAGGAGGCAAAAACTGGACAGTGAGGGTTAGGAAGAGAACTGTGTGCCAAACAAAGGCTAGGAGTGATCACGGGGATAGCAGTGGAGACTGGACCAATTGCATTGGCATAGGGAACTCCCAGGTGAAGAAACTCCCTCTACCAATGCAGGTTGGCACCTTCTCTACAGATTTATAATCTCTGCTGCAATAAGATTAGATTGTAAATCTAAGGACAGGCCAAGGACTGCCTTTGTTTTTATTTTTATTTGTATCCCCAGCAGTTAGCACAAAGCCTGACACATAGGAGGCTTAATAAATGTTTATTGACTATTGACTGAGGTGAAGTAATTTGCCTGGGGTCACAAAACCAGAGTCCAAAGATAGGACTTGAACCCAGATCTCCCTGTCTTCAAAGCCATTTCTCTATTCACTATCCCATGATGAACCATAAAAGATAAAATAGACAATTTGAACTAAATAAAATGAAAAAGCTTCTGCATGAACAAATTAATGCTGTTGGAATTCGAGAGAAGCTGTTAATTGCCAGGGGTGTGTGTGGGGAGGGAGACTCTTCACAGCAAATATCTGCGAATTAAAATGAAAATAACTCTGCGGTTTCACCTCAAACATGTCAAAGTGGCAAAGATGAAAATGGTAAATGTCAAAGTAGCTTTGGGAAGACAGACACACTAATGGACTCTCAGTGGACCTGGGAACTGATCTAATTATTCTGGAAAGTCTTTGCAATTATTCTACAAAAGTCATCTAATTGTACACCTTTTGACATAGCAATACCACTATTGGACTCATATACCCCAAGAAGATCAAAGGCAGAGAGAAAATTCCCAGATAACACGAATATTTATAGCACATTTTGTGGTAAGAAAAAAACCTCTGAAAACCAAGTACTTACTGATTGAGAAGTGGCTAAAGAAATGATAGTATATTAATATTGTGGGATATTATTGTGAAGTAAGAAATAACCAATATAAGAGATTCAGGGAAATGTAGGTAGATGTATAAAGTGAATTAGAACAAAATAAGCAGAACTAGGAAAACAACCGATAGAATGTAATGCAAAGCATCATCTATTTATTGGTTTAGAGGTAAAAGGGACCTAAAAATTCAACTGGTCCAGTCACCTCATTTTACAGATGAAACAAACTGAGTCCTAGAGAGGTTAAGTAAAACCACATTGAGGGGCAGCTAGGTGGTGCAGTGGATAGATAGAGCACCAGCCCTGGAGTCAGGAGGGCCTGAATTCAAATCCTACCTCAGATACATAATACTCCCTAGCTATGTGACCCCGGGCAAGTCATTTAACCCCATTGCCTAGCTCCCCCCCCCAAAAAAAAACATATTGAAAGATATCAGAAGTCTGATCAAATTCATTGTCCAATTATGACTCCAGAGGACTGTCTGGAAAGCATACCTTCTTCCTCTTGGTGCAGAGGTGGTGAACTGTAAGTGTGGGATTTAGCATGTGTTGTCAAACATGGTTGTTGATTGGGCCTCTTTATCGAGAGGGATGGTCATATTGGTGCAGAGAGAAAGCAAGGAAGAAGGAAGGAAATAAGCATTTATTAAGTGCCTACTGTGTGCCAGGCACCATGCTAAGCACTTTACAAATAGTCTTTCATTTGAGCTTCACAATAACCCTAGGAAGTAGGTGGTATTACTGTCCTCATTTTACAGCTGAAGAAACTGAGGCAAACAGAGGTTTAAATGACTTGTTCGGGGTCCCACAGCTAGCAAGTGTCTGAGGCCAGATTTGAAATCAGGTCTTCCTGACGTTAGAAAGTGACAGTGATGTAAAAGGAAAAAAAAGACATTGACTTTTTTTTAAGAAAAGGAATGTTTAAATAATTGGAGAAGTATTCATTGTTCATGATTTGGTTATGTCAATATGATAGACATGATAATGCTACTTAAATTAATTTATAGATTTAGTAGTATGTTTTTATTCTAATATTCCAATAGATCTGTGATCTAATCCTTCCAACATTGTGAATTGTAGTCCATCGATGTGTGCCCAATCAGTGCAACGCTTGATCATGTCTTCCCATAAGTTCACCAAAGGTGCCAGGGTCTTCCTAGAGTTCCCATCATGAGAATACCAATAAAGTGCACAGGCTATCCAGTGGTTTATCCCTTGCTCTTGGAAATGACCAAGCCATATTCTTTTTCAGTTATACTTTTCTTTGATGACATATGTTTCTCCTATGTAATTCCTCATTGCAGCCTGCTCATAACCATCACACATCTCTCCATTGCCACTTGGGTGATCCTCAACTTTGCTTCTTCACAGACAGAAGTGTTCTGTGACTTCAACCCATGCAGCCTTACTGCAAGAATACTGGTATTACAAAGAAATGCCTTTTTTTCTGGGAAAAACTTCTGGGCCCACTTCATTGTCAATTGCAACATCTGTCCAAGATATGTATATGTACATGTACATGTACATATATATGTGTCTATGTATGTTTATGTTTAATCATTTTTGAGTTGTGTCTGACTCTTTGTAACCCCTTTGGGGGGTTTTCTTGGCAAAGGTACTGGAGATGTTTTGTATTTCCTTCTCCAGATCATTTTACAGTTGAGGAAACTGAGGCAAACAGGGTGAAGTGACTTGACCACGGGCATATAGCTAGGAAATGTCTGAGGCTGAATTTGAACTCAGGTTTTCTTAACTCCAGGCCTGGCGCCCTATCCACTGAGCCATCTATCTGTCCCATGTATATGTATATGTATGTGTAGTATATGTATATGTATATATGTGTATATGTATTGTGTATGATATGTGTGTGCATGTATATATGTCTACTTACAGAAACTGAAGTTATGATATCATTGATAATAGAAAACTCTTGGGCAAGGAAACTCCTTCTATCAACACAGGTTGGCACCTTTTCTGCAACTTATTGCCTTCAAAGAGTTGTTTGGTATCCCTGAGAGGGTCAGTGACTTTTCTAGGGTCACACAGCAAGTCTATGTTATAGGCAGTACTTGAACCCAGATATTCCTGGTTACCAGGCTAACTTACTACCCACTACTAGGTGTACAGTTAGATGAGGAGGCAGTTGAAGGTGGGGGAGCAAAAAGTAGATGAAAAATTGAAAATGTCTGTAAAGATTTTTACAACAAATCCTTTCTGCCATTCAGGGCAGAGGAGCCGCCGCATTTGGACTCAAACATCCCAGTCCGGATGTGCTTTCAGAGGAAGTGGAAACATCACTGAAGAAAACAAAACCAGAAATAGTGGCTAGACTAAACCACGTGTAAATAGAGGATGTCTGTGCTAGAGGTAACATGTGACGTGGATTATATGAAGGGCTAAATTCATCAAGTGTCTACAGGAGGGCAAGATAACAGAGGTAAGGAAAACATCTCAGCCCTTATTGCTACCAGCAAAGGTGACCGAGAGAAGAATATCAATGTGTAACTACCAACCCCTAGGCCTACATTCCCATACACACTCGAAACCTCCAAGAGATCTGGGAGGTCCTCCAGGAATGGACATTACATCCTATCCATGTCTGTCCATAAAACTGTGTGATGACCAGAGTCTGGCCTCCCAAAAGGTCACCACAAAAAGGTGCCAACCTGTGTTGATAGGAGTTTCCTTACCCAGGAGTTTTCTGTATCTGAAATTTCTGAAATCACAACTTTGGTTTCTATAAATAGACATATATACAGGTACACACATACACATACACATACACATACACATACACATACACATACACATACACATACACATACACATACACATACACATACATATACATATACATATACATATACATATACATGGGGCAGCTAGGCAGCTCAACACCAGGCCTGGAGTCAAGAAGACCTGAGTTCAAATCCAGCCTCAGAAGCTTCCTAGCTGTTTGACTTGGAGCAAGTCACTTAACTTCTGTTGGCCTCAGTTTCCTCATCTGTAAAATAAGCTGGAGAAGGAAATGGCAAATCACTCCAGTATATTTGACAAGAAAACCCCATACAGTGTCACAAAGAGTCGGACACAACTCAAATTACTAAACATAAATATACACAGATACACATATACACATGTGCACATACATATATACACATATGTGTGTGCACATGTATGCGTGCACATGCACATATACATGTACATGTACATATACATACACATACACATACACATGCACATATACATATCCCTGGGACAAATCATGTCCCAGATTTCCACCAAATGTGCTGAAGGCTTTCCTTGCTTTCTCCAGGCATTTCAAGGATACCAGTGGAAAACTCTGGCTGTCCTCACTCTTCTAACCCATATAAAATTTTCCTCTAGAAGCACTCTACAAGGCAGAAAGGTGGCATGGTGGATATCTTGATGGACTTGGATTGAAGGTGGGTTCGAGTCTGGCCTCAGACCCCTATTAGCTGTGGGACCCTGGGTAAGTCACTTAATCTCTGTCTTCCTCATTCTCCTCAACTATAACATACAGATCATAAAAAACATATCCCAGGGTTGTTGTGAGGATCAAATCCTTAACATAGTTCCTGGCACATAGTAGGTGCTTATTTCTTTCCTTCCTCAACTGGAGAGCAAACAAATTTTAGTAAATGAATTTAATGGAATATTACTGTGGCATTAGAAATTAGGGCTGTGAGGTATTTATAAAAATTTAGGAGTCGGACGCAGAGTGAAGTAAGCAGAACCAAGGAAACAATCTATACAGTGATCACTGCAATATAAAGGAAATTAGTGGTCAAAGCATCAGAATTCACATGGCTTATGTAAAGGCCAACCTTGGCTCGAGAGGACAGATTAGAGACCACATCTCCTTCTCACTACAAGTATACAGTTATCCCTACCACATCACGACTTTCCCCATGGGGGTTTCAAATATATCATTGGTCAGTATAAGAAATTAAATGGCACTTTTTGGGGGAGTTTTGCAGAAGCCACAGTCAACAAACAAAGTCCAGCAGAAAAAGTATTTTTACTTAACATTGACCTACCTATAGCCTATGACCAAATACTTAACCCAAATTTTACACTAAGGTACTGTGAACACCCCATAAAAAAAAGAAAGAAAGAAAGAAAGAAAGAAAGAAAGAAAGAAAGAAAGAAAGAAAGAAAGAAAGAAAGAAAGAAAGAAAGAAAAGGTTCAGACTTTTCTGGTATGAAGGGAAGGCCAAATAATTTTATGTGGATTTTCCAGATCGCTTGGGGGGGGGGGGTGCATGCTCCTAACCCCTACAACATGGAAGGGATATCAAGTCTGGAGTGTTTTGTGCATTGCTGTGTCTGGAGTAGAAGATGTGAGTCTTAATTGGAGGAGAGAATGATACCCAGTGGTGCTGTGGATTTGTGTGAAGCATGGAGTTGGGGCCAGAACTTCTTGAGAGAAAGACACATGTGGCTCTATTTTAGGAGTGACAGAGAAAGACTTTGGAAGGTTAAGACATTAACTGGTTCTGGTTCCGCAACATGTCCCAGATTTCAAACTTATCTCCCTAGAGTCCAGGGCCTAGCCAGGAGTGGGGAACCTGCAGCCTCGAGGTCACATGTGGCTCAAAATTTGTTCTTTGAAGTTTGGATGCAGTCAAAGGGCCACACTTGAGGACCTAGAGGGCCATATATGGCCTCAAGACCGAGGTTTCCCTACCCCTGCCCTAGACGCTTTAGAGACTTTCTTTTGTTTTTGTTTTTGTTTTTTTGTTTTAGGCAATTGGGGTTAAGTGACTTGCCCAGGGTCACACAGCTAGTAAGTGTCAAGTGTTTGGTCTGAGGCCGGATTTGAACTCAGATCCTCCTGACTTCAGGGCCGATGCTCTATCCACTGCAGCGCCACCTAGCTGCCCCTAGAGACTTTCCCTTGGATGAGATTGGACCCTGTCTTTTGGTTGAGCTGAGATCTCATCTCATCTAAAGAGCTTATTTATTTATTTACTCCTGTGTGTTTTCTGGTATATTCCAACAGCTCTGTGTGATATTTTGGGTTTTCTAGCTATTTCCCATTTGTTATGGTCTTTTGTGTAACCAGCGTTTGGTGGAAAGGGGCCAAGTCAAGGGGTATAAGCTAAGAGCTAGAGTCAAGGAAATGGCTTTTGTTCTAAACCAGACTTGTAATCCTAAGGCAGCATCATCACTCTGCAGCCAGCCTCCTGGTGATGCCTCTCCAGGTAGAGCTAAGCTGGTCCTCAAATCTTGAAGAGGCATTGGAGGAAAAGAAGATAGATATAATTCTAGTCCAGTACCCTTCTTAGAGACTGGAGAAAAGAACCCCCAGGCTCATGGTACTCTTGGGGCCTGCCCTTCTACCCCCACCGTCACCCAGTTAGCTTGCCAGTGGTGGGAGAGGTGCTGCCCCAGGAACTCCTCCTCTCCTCACACATGGTTCAGCCCTCAGATCATATCTATCTATGCTTCCTGAAAACTATGACAAAACATTGAAACATGTCTTTCATGGGCATATATGCATCTGACATTAGAAATATCTTGGAGTGTACCTTAAAAATATCACTCTCTTTCGCTGATTATATCCCTACTCAGGGTTTGCTCTCAGAAAAATTTCCAAATATAGTTCATGTCTAGGTCTCCACAGATGGAGTAAAAGAATCCTCCAGATCTTATGAAGAGACTCATGATGGCATGAAATATCAAGAACAGAGAAGCCTTAATTTTTCTCTACCCAAAATGCAGAAAACACAAAGTACGTATAAGAACCCACAAAGAAGTCACAATCACCAGTAAAAAAATTGCTACAGGGGCAGCTAGGCCATGCAGTGGATAGAGTGCTGGCCCTGGAGTCAGGAGGACCTAAGTTCAAATCCAGCCTCAGACACTTGACACTTACTAGCCTTGTGACCCTGGGCAAGTCACTTAATCCCAATTACCTAGCTACAATTCTCCTTCATCTCTCTTGAGTCCATCTTTCCCACAAGGCTCGACATGGTAACCTCTCTCCCACCCTCTGAAGAGGAATTAACACCCTAGTTCTGCAGAGTTTGTGTTTCATCCCACGGAGACCCATATAACCACAGGGAACAGCTCAGAGGGCTTAGACTCCCCAAGAAAGGGAAATACAACTGGGGACTATTAGGCATCTGCCCTTTCCTATTGGACCCACCATTTCTAAATAATTCATTGCTCAGAAATTTCTCCTTCTTTTGATAGAAGGTTAAATTCTCTAACTCTCAAATTTGAGATTACTTGCAAGGTAAACCCTGAGACTGGTGGTGCCCTGGATAGAAGGCTGTATCATGAGACTCTCAAATTGGAGGCTCCTAGAGAGGAAGGGAGGGAGGGAGGGGAGGAAGAGAAGGAAGAAAAAAGAAAAAGAAAGAAAGGGAGGGAAGGAAGGAAGGAAGGAAGGAAGGAAGGAAGGAAGGAAGGAAGGAAAGAAGGAAAGAAGGAATGAAAGAAGGAAGGAAGGGAGGAGGGAAGGAAAAAAAGAAGGAAGGGAGAGAAGGAAGGAAGGGAAGAAAGAAGGAAGGAAAGAAGGGAGGGAGGAGGGAAGGAAAGAAGGAAGGAAGGGGAAGGAAAGAAGGGAGGGAGGAGGGAGGAACAGAGAGAGGGAGGAGGGAAGGAAAGGAGGGAGGAAAGGGAGAAAGGAAGAAAGGAAGGAAGGAAATAAGCATTTATTAAAGCACCTATTGTGTGTCATGCACTGTACTAAACACTTTGCAAATATATCATTTCCCTCACAACGATCCTGAGAGGTAGATGCTCTCATTATCCCCATTTTACAATGGAAAAAACTGAGGCTATGTGACTTACCCAGGATCCCACAGCTAGTCTTAGGCCAGATTTATTATTATTATTATTATTATTATTATTATTATCAAGGACTTAACAAGAACTCGTCCCAGAACTCTTCTGTCCTTTCTAGCAACTGTCCCCCATGCCTGGAAATGCTCTCCCCTCTTCACCTCTGCCTACTGGCTTCCCTGACTTCCTTCAAAACTCAGCTCAAAGTCGGCCTTCAGCAAGAAGCCTTTCCCAGTTCCTCCCCATCCCCCCACTGCTAGGGTCTAATTCTGAGATTATCTCCTGTTGATACTCTGTGGATCTTATAAGCACAGAGCTATTTGCATGTTGTCTCTTCCATTCAATGGAAACTCTGAGGACAGGACCCTGACTGACTGTCAGGCCACATGGTCACCCCACGCCCTTTCAGGAATTTTCAGGGCTCCACCACAGCCCCATCTGCTGTTGGCTCTTGTGGTGGGAGAGTCCCAGCTCAGATGGCTGCTGTCTGACCTGTGCTCAGAAAAGGGAAAAGGAAAACAGAGCCCAGAGAGCGGTTTTTTTTCCTGTGACTCCTATGAATCAACAGATTATCTCCTGTTCATCCATCCTGCCCTCAAGGTCAGTAACTTTGACTTGTTTACCACTTACTTACTCACCAATGCTGCAATTCTGACTATGCTTTGCCAAATTTTCTTCCGTTAACTGTATTTTTTAAACTATATTTTCTTAATTTATTTTTAACATTCATTTTTTAAAAAATTTTGAGCTCCAAATTTTCTCTCCCTTGCTCCAGTCCCTCTCCCACCTATTGAGAAGGCAAGCAATATGATAGCCTACCAGAGGTAGGGAACCTTCGGACTCGTCAAATGTGGCCCTCTAGATCCTCAAGTGCAGCTCTTTGACTGAATCCAGACTCTACAGAACAAATCCCCTTAATAAAAGGACCTAGAAGGCCACAGGTTCCCCACTCCTGGCCTCGGCCATCTTTTGCCTTTTTTTTTTTTGGCAATTGGGGTTAAGTGACTTGTCCAGGGTCACACAGCTAGTAAGTGTCAAGTGTTTGGTCTGAGGCTGGATTTGAACTCAGGTCCTCCTGACTTCAGGGCCCGTGTCCTATCCACTGCACCACCTAGCTGCCCCTTGAAGTCCTAATTTCTATCCTTATTTCTTCTTTTCCTCCAATGCCTCTTCAGGATTTGAGGACCAGCTTATCTCTACCTGGAGAGGCATCACCAGGAGGCTGGCTGCAGACTGATGAATTCTTTGGCTATAACAACTCACAAAACAAAGAAAAATACTAACTGGCCTTCCCTCCTATGCAGCCTCTGTCCTCCTTCCTGTGTAGCAGTGATGGTGGCAGAAGGGAGCCGGTGCTAGAGGGCACTAAGAGCTATACGTCACCTATAAATTTGAACTTGGTAGTTGGTATTTTCCCAATGACCAATGAGGAGATATATTACAGGAAGTACTGACTCATATCAATCTTTATTGTCTGGTTATAAAGAAAACTGGAAAAAAGGAGGAGGTTGTACCTACATGGAAATAGAACTTGCAGGTCTTCCTTAAAGAGGCAAATGAAGGAACTGGTCGAATGCTTTTAATCATGCATCCAAAAGCAATAAGGAAGGGGCAGCTAGGTGACAAAAGCACTGGCCTTGGAGTCAGGAGGACCTGAGTTC